AGAATGGTCACTGATATTAGTAGACATTCTTTATTTGTTCGCCGCCCCTGCTTACTCCGTCCCTTCTCTCTTCGCCTTCATTCGCTCTTGTCTTCTCTTTCAACTACCACCTTTCTATGTACATGTAGCATCTCACTTTTCCCTACCCCCCTGGGAGGTCCCAGCTGTTCGAGTCTGTTCTTTCTCCCTCCCTTGCTCGAAAGCCCAACTGTCTACGGTCGCTTCCCGCTCTCTTTTTCTTGACCACTTTCACTCTCATTCTCATGCCATTGCTGTGTACACAGATGGCTCTAAGTCTTCTGACGGCGTAGGATTCGCAGCAGTGTTTCCGGACAGCGTCGTACAAGGGCATTTACTATCTTCAGCTAGTATTTTTACTGCTGAATTATATGCCATCCTTAAAGCACTTATCCGTATTGCATCTATGCCTGTGTCATCATTTGTGGTTGTCTCAGACTCCCTTAGTGCTTTACAGGCTATACAAAAATTTGATACACCTCACCCATTAGTCCTCCGTATCCAACTTTGGCTACGCCGCATCTTTACTAAGCATAAAGATATTGTTTTTTGTTGGGTCCCTGGTCATGTTGACGTACAGGGCAATGAACAGGCAGACACGCTGCGCGGTCAGCAGTACATGACCTACCAGTTTCTTACAGAGGTATTCCATGTACGGACTATTTTGCTGTAATATCTTCCCACCTTCACACCCGTTGGCAACAACGTTGGTCTACTATGCTCGGCAACAAACTTCAGTCTATTAAACCGAGTATAGGTTACTGGCCGTCTTCTTATCACCAGTGTCGAGGTTGGGAGACTACTCTCTCTCGTCTTCGCATTGGCCATACTCGTCTTACTCATGGATATCTCATGGAGAGGCGTCTTGCTCCTCTCTGTGAGAATTGCCAAGCTCCATTATCAGTCAGCCACATTCTGTTGGACTGCCCACTTATCAACGAGCACGCAGAATTTACCTCTGTCGTCGTCTTCGCCCCGCTGCTCTCTCTTTACCTTCCCTTCTCGCTGATGGACCCACCTTTCATCCGGACTCTCTTATTGACTTTTTGACAACGACTGACTTACTTCACAAATTCTGATACTTTCAGCCCTTTCTACTTGTATCTCTTGCTACCCTCTACCCCCGTACTATCCCCTGCCCCGCTGTTTTCTGTAACCTGCTGATCATCCCCCCTCCCTCCTGCCATCCAATTCCCTTGCTTCCTTCCCTACCCTGCAGCGCTGTATAGCCCTTGTGGCTTAGCGCTTCTTTTTGATTATAATAATAATAATAATTATATTTGATCTTCATAAAATTGTGTAAGGTTCATGAGGTATTTTTTAATTATTTTTGAAGCAGGTAGTAGATGAGGAACTGTTTGTTTCTTGTGTCTGTGTTTCTTGTTGCATCTCTCTTAAGAAGAGCTTGTAGGCTGGAGTTAGTTCTGTTTGTACAGTAATTGTCTTTATATATAGTATGTACATTAGTAAGTGTGACGGTTTTGAATAGTGTGTGTGTGTGTACTCACCTATTTGTGGTTGTTGGGGTCAAGTCATAGCTCCTGGCCCCGCCTATTCACTGCTACCAGGTCCTCTCTCGTTCCCTGCTCCATGAGCTTTATCAAACATCATCTTAAAACTATGTATGGTTCCTGCCTCCACTACATCACTAGTCAGACTATTCTGCTTCCTGACAACTCTGGCTAAAGAAATCCTTCCTAACATCCCTTTGACTCATGTGAGTCTTCAACTTCCAATTGTGACCTCTTGTTTGTGTCCCATCTCTGGAACATCCTGATTCTGTCCACCTTGTCAATTCCTTGCAGTATTTTGTGATATCATATCTCCCCTAACCCTCTTGTCCTCTAGTGTTGTCAGGTCGATTTCCCTTAACCTTTCTTTGTAAGACATTTCCCTTAGCTCTGGAACTAGTCTTGATGTGCTTGACCAGGTGTAGGTTCCAAACTGGTGCTGCATTCTCCAGTATGGGCCTGACATACATTGTGTACAATGTCTTGAACAATTCCTTACTGAGGTATTGGAACGCTATTCTCTGGGTTTGCCAGGCGCCCATATGCTGCAGCAGTTATCTGGTTGATGTGGGCATCAGGAGATATGCTCGGTATTATACTGAGCCAAGATCCTTTTCCTTGTAGTAAGGTTTGCAGTCTTCGGCCACCTATCCTATACTCTGTATGCGGTCTTCTTTGCCCTTCCCCGATCTTCATGACTTTGCATTTGGCGGGGTTAAATTCGAGTAGCCAGTTGCTGGACCAGGCTTCCAGCCTGTCCAGGTCTGTTTGTAGTCCTGCCTGATCCTCATTCGATTTAATTTTCCTCATTAACTTCACATCTGCAAACAGGAACACTTCCAAGTGTATCCCTTCTGTCATGTTATTCACGTATACCAGAAATAACACTGGTCCATAAGATTGCCATCAAATTTTGTACTTTTGGTGTCATTACCATTGGGAAAAGATTCTCTCTCATTTTGTGAGTTTATTTTTTTTTTTTTTTTTTTTTTACACTGAGAGCAAGTGTGTGAGCAGCGGGTCTTAACAGTGAAAGCATTAAAGGAGTAAATGCTAGGGTGTTGAGGAGAAGGGTGGGACTCAAATACAAAATGGGAGTTGACACAGTTATGTTTTGCTGATGATACTGTGCTTAGGGGGATTCTAAGGAAAAGTTGCAAAGGTTAGTGGATGAGTTTGGGAGGGTGTGTAAAGGTAGAAAGTTGAAAGTGAACATACATAAGAGTAAGGTGATGAGGATATCAAATGACTTAAAGAAAAATTAGATATCACATTGGAGGGAGTATGGAAGAAGTGAATGTTTTCAGATATTTGGGAGTTGACTTATCAGCAGATGAGTTTATGAAGGATAAGGTTAGCCATCGAATTGATGAAGGAAAAAAGGTGAGTGGTACATTGAAGTATCTGTGGAGACAAAAACATTATCCATGGAGGAAAAGAAGGGAATGTATGAGAGTATAGTGGTACCAACACTTATATGGGTGCAAAGCATGGGTTATAAATGCTGCAGTGAGGTGGAGGCTGGAAGCAGTGGAGATGTTGTGTCTAAGGGCAATCTGTGGTGTAAATATTATTCAGAGAATTCATATTGTGGAAATTAGGAGGAGGTGTGGAATTAATAAAAGTATTAGTTGGAGGGCTGAAGAGGTGTTGTTGAGGTGGTTTGGTTATTGAGAGAGAATGGAACAAAGTATAATGACTTGGAAAGAATATAAATCTGTAGGGGAAGGAAGGCAGGTTAGGGGTTATCCCCAAAAAGGTTGGAGGGAGGGGGTAAAGGAGGTTTTGTGGGTGAGGGGCTTGAACTTCAGCAAGCATGCATGAGCGTGTTAAATAGGAGTGAATGGAGACGAATGGTTTTTGGGACCTGATGAGCTGTTGGAGTGTGAGCAGTGTAATATTTTGTGAAGAGATTCAGGGAAACTGGTTAGCCAGACTTAGTCCTGGAAATGAGAAGTACAATGTCTGCACTTCAAAGGAGGTGTTTGGGATATTAGCAGTTTGGAGGGACATCTAAACTGTCATATCTGAGCACCTCTGCAAAGACAGTGATTATGTAGGAGTGATGGTGAAAGCGTTGAATGATGATGAAAGTTTTTTTTTTTTTCTTTTTGGGATTTTTCTTTTTTTTTGGGGGGGGGGGGGTTGTGACCACCCCTGCCTCAGTGGGAAATGCCCTTTGTGTTAAAAAAAAAAATTTTAACACAGCTGTTTTCCACTGTGGCAGGGTGACCTGAAAAAGAAGAAGCACTTTCACCATCCCTTACCCCTATTACTGTCTTACCAGAGGTGTGCTGATAACTGTTACAGTGCTCATACTCCAGCCTCGAAATAATCCAACAGTTCTAGAGTTTTATAAATTATACAACGCCACTCACCTCTTGCTTTTCAGCTGTATCATCTCGCATATTTTGAGAATTCTTATTATCATCAACTTAATTTGTTACATTTATATACTATAAAGAATATTAAAAGAATGTTTCTTGTGGGAATTTGAGATACATCATGCAGTGCCCACCAGTTTTTTTTTTAATGTCCCTATAATTTTTGTAGTGACTCAGAGCATTCAAAGATTTTCTTTATGTGCTGTTTATTTGTTTGCCTCTGATTTGCTCAGTTTTAATGTGGTGGTGAGTTATTTTAATATTAGTATAATTATAGGTATATTCAATAGCACAGAAATTTCGAACATTGAAATGTTTTAGATGCATACTATAATGGTAGTGGTTTGTATCAGCCATCTTTAATATTGTTTTAATGTTACCTTTTCACCATTTATAAACATTTCTGGTATGTTTTTAAATGTTTATACAGTAGTGTACTGCATATTGTAATCAACAAAATAGAGGAAATCAGCTCTAATATACATTTAGGTATGCATACTGGTCAGAGCTCGTCGTAAGTCCGAGTCGTCGGTAAACGAGTACGTCACTATGTGTGGAGAGGCTGTACTGTAATTTAAGAATACATATTCCATAGTTTGCTTACAGTATTGTTGTTTAATATTTTCATAAATATTAATTTAAATATGCAAATTATTGTTTAATTTGTTATTTTTGTTATTAATTTTAGTAGTAGTAGTATGTATTGTTACTGTAGTTATTATTATTTTTCTTAGTAGTGGTAGTAATAGTATTAGTGATAGTGCCAAATTATTATATTCATGGGGAAACAATGAACCTGTAAAGGTCACACAGCACCTGCAGAATGGGAGATAATCGAGATTGATCTGAGCAAGGGAAAAGCATTCCATTTCCTTAAATCAAGAGCCCTTCACCAGCATCAACACATTCCCTTAAAGGGGCTGAATAGATCAGGATATCACCTGTAAAAACTGCATTATGGATTCTTTATAGCATGTTTAATCTTTTTCTCTCAAGCATCTTATATTAATTTTATATATTGCCTCTTAATGCTACAGAATTCAGCAGCTGCTTTTTCTTGCTTTTTTTCTTTCTATGTCTTTGGAAGAGCTGAGGCGTCACTTTGGCCACACTGGAACCAACTATCACCTCAGCCAGACCAGACTAGCTAAAGATGTCCTGGCAGAAATTCCTCAGCAACTGGTGTCATGGATGAAATTTCATGGGTACCCTCCTAACACTCCCATCATTCAAGGCCCAGTTAATACACATGGCCTTGTTTAACATAATACAGTATATGGGTTACATTGGCAACATTAACAGCTGAAGTCACAAGGTGGTTACTGTATAATAGTTACATTTGTCCCTCCCTCACTGCATGAGCCACATTGCAGGGTTTGCTTCTGTGCAAGACATTATAAGCTTTATTTTATCTGTTTAGAATTTTATAGACAGTAATAGTAAACAATAACAAAAGCTGACAAGTGGAAATAAAAACACTGGTAGCAGAGGATCTTTTTAGTACAATGTTTTCCCCAGGGCTGAGCTTTATTAGGTAACTGATTAAGCTCAGCCTTGGGCAGAACATTATATTAAGAAGGATTCTCTGCTACAGTGTCTTTATTTCCATAGACTGTAATATAATTCAGTGGAGTGATAAGGATTGAAACCCACTTTTTTTGATCACCAGCTTCTTGCTGTAATCCACCACATCATGTATGATCACTCCAGTGAATTGTTACATTTCTTCCTCACAGGAGGGGTGTTAATGTTGCAGTTTAAAAACTGTAGTGTAAAGCACCCTTCTGGCAAGACAGTGATGGAGTGAATGATGGTGAAAGTTTTTCTTTTTCGGGCCACCCTGCCTTGGTGGGAATCGGCCAGTGTGATAATAATAATAAAAACATTTTCAGCATAGTATTTTGTTTATACAGTAGTTGCAGGAAGCACACACAGGAATTGCAATAGGTGTGCACTGATGGTAAGTTATATAGATTTAACCTAGGATAACCTTTCAAAATATATAGTGACTGCCGTGTAGCTGTCTAACAAGGAATGTAAAATAGACTAACAGTGAGCCATTTATCACATTACACTTCCACTTTAGTGAAGCTTTACTAAATCTGTAAAGAATGTATACACCTAAACCTTGTATGCCTTGTATATACAGTTGTCCTGGAGTTCTTGGTCAGGTGTTGGGTGGGGCATCATTGGTTGAGTAGTTGAGAGGGCCAATGAGCACTACAGTAACCCTTCTGGACTATCTATATTGAGCTTTCAGTGGGTTGATAGAGCAGTATGTGTATGTTTGTGGTATTTAGAATAAAGGCATTGTGGAAGTGGAGGAGCAATGATCCTATGAAGAATAAAATGGCAGAATGCTATGGCTTGAACACTGCACAAATAACACACACACAGGTCCAAGTCCAACCAAAATGTTTTCATAAGTTTCACTCTCACATGTGCAGGTTATTTGTGAAAAGATCCTATGGTGTGTTCAGTGGTGTCATTGTATTATATTGTGGTTATTTCTATACATTTCTTCCTATGTCTGTCATAGTGCATGAGATAAGATTTGTCTCAGTGGTTTGCAGGCATTATTAAGGTTGTGTACCTTTCAGTGATGAATGTTTCAGCGAGGAGAAGGCTGGAGGCAGTGGACATGTCATGTCTGAGGGCAATGTGTGGTGTGAATATAATGCAGAGAATTCGTAGTTTGGAAGTTAGGAGGAGGTGCGGGATTACCAAACTGTTGTCCAGAGGGCTGAGGAAGGGTTGTTGAGGTGGTTCGGACATGTAGAGAGAATGGAGCGAAACAGAATGACTTCAAGAGTGTATCAGTCTGTAGTGGAAGGAAGGCAGGGTAGGGGTCGCCTAGGAAAGGTTGGAGGGGAGGGGGTAAAGGAGGTTTTGTGTGCGAGGGCTTGGACTTCCAGCAGGCATGCGTGAACGTGTTTGATAGGAGTGAATGGAGACAAATGGTTTTTAATACTTGACGTGCTGTTGGAGTGTGAGCAAAGTAACATTTATGAAGGGGTTCAGGGAAACCGGCAGGCCGGACTTGAGTCCTGGAGATGGGAAGTACATACAGTGCCTGCACTCTGAAGGAGGGGTGTTAATGTTGCAGTTTAAAAACTGTAGTGTAAAGCACCCCTCTGGCAAGACTGATGGAGTGAATGATGGTGAAAGTTTTTCTTTTTCGGGCCACCCTGCCTTGGTGGGAATCGGCCAGTGTGATAATAAAAAAATAAATAATAACCTTTCAGACATATTTGTGCTCTGAAGTTAGTTGGGAGGTCACAAGAAGTTTCACCAACGTAGACTTTGTTGCATCCTGAGCATGGTATGGTGTAGATGCAGGCTGTACTGGGTGTAAGACTCAGCTGAGCCTAATATTTCTGATAGCTCTAGAGAACAGTGTTGACTCTATGCAGTGTGAAGATTTCAACAGTAAGGTCAGTAGGAAGTTGGACGAGTCTTAAAGTTAAGAGTTAGGGTGAGTATGAGAACTGGAAAAAATCTTGTCTGACACTGGAAACCAGAGAAGAAATGAAGTAAGAACTGAAGGGCAGTGACAGCATTAGAGATAGAGACAAGTCCACCCATTGCTAAAACATCTCAGTAAAGTTCCCATCTGCAATTGTCTTTTTACACCAGGGTTGAAGATAAAATGGTATTAGTCTTCAGGGAAGTTACTGCTACACATTCGGAAGGCCTTTAGCCCTTTGAGGATCCAAGTTGTAGTTCTACAGATTCTCCACAAGGTCCAAGAATTTAAAAAAAAAAAAATATTTTTTCTTACGAAATGGTAGAGAATTTTTTTCTGAAGGTGATAAAACAAAAAGTACGGAATTTGATAAAAAAAAACTGATGAAATTACACTATTGTAAATTTTACTGTGTCAGCGATGTTTATGCATTGGCGATTTTGCTCACTTTGACTGCTATTTTTGGCCAATTACATTATTCCAGCTGACCAAGATTCTTAGCTATTTTGCTAGTATTACTTCTATTTTATCGATTGAGAACAAGAAACTGCATAATTAACTATTTCAACTACCCAGTAAAGTGATCAGAATTTGGCCAGTTTCACACAAAGTTCAAAATATTCCAATTTCAGAATAAGGTCCAGAATAAAAAATGCAGGCATTTCTGGCACTAAATAACATTTCCTCTGTTTATTAGTTATGTTTCCATTTTGATTTTCTATTTACATAAAGAATTTTTATTCACACCAAAAATATAGACTAATTACTCTCGTACAATATTGTAATAATTGTATAAACAATATCAGTGCATTTGTAAATGTATATTAGACCCACCAGTTTACGTGTATTGGACGCGTGATGTGATTAGTTTACTCTTGAACATAGGCAAAAATCAAACTTTCCACTAACTTTGAGCTCAATTACAAGCTATTTTCAGTACTAAAAATCAATCAAAATCATCTCTATTTCTGTACTATACCTTCCATTCTATCAAATGACACTAAGAAACTGAGAATACAACCATAAAAGCCATATGAAAATGCACCGCAAAGTTACTGTTTTAACCCCTTAACAGTCCAATCATAGATCTACGTTCTCTCTCCCAGCGTTCCAAATATTTTGAAAAATAATTTTTTTCTTTTTTTATGAAGACATTTTATTACAGTGAAACATTAAGTGAACAGTATTTAGATAAGGCTAAAGAGGTTTTTGTGGCATTTATGGATTTGGAAAAGGCGTATGACAGGGTGGATAGGGGGGCAATGTGGCAGATGTGCAGGTGTATGATGTAGGAGGTAGGTTACTGAAAGCAGTGAAGAGTTTTTACGAGGATAGTGAGGCTCAAGTTAGAGTATGTAGGAAAGAGGGAGATTATTTCCCAGTAAAAGTAGGCCTTAGACAAGGATGTTGATGTCACCGTGGTTGTTTAATATATTTATAGATGGGGTTGTAAGAGAAGTAAATGCGAGGGTCTTGGCAAGAGGCGTGGAGTTAAAAGATAAAGAATCACACATAAAGTGGGAGTTGTCACAGTTGCTCTTTGCTGATGACACTGTGCTCTTGGGAGATTCTGAAGAGAAGTTGCAGAGGTTGGTGGATGAATTTGGTAGGGTGTGTAAAAGAAGAAAATTAAAGTGAATACAGGAAAGAGTAAGGTTATGAGGATAACAAAAAGATTAGGTGATGAAAGATTGGATATCAGATTGGAGGGAGAGAGTATGGAGGAGGTGAATGTATTCAGATATTTAGGGAGTGGAACGTGTCAGCGGATGGGTCTATGAAAGATTAGGTGAATTCATAGAATTGATGAGGGGAAAAGGGTGAGCGGTGCACTTAGGAGTCTGTGGAGACAAAGAACTTTGTCCTTGGAGGCAAAGAGGGAATGTATGAGAGTATAGTTTTACCAACGCTCTTATATGGGTGTGAAGCATGGGTGATGAATGTTGCAGCAAGGAGAAGGCTGGAGGCAGTGGAGATGTCATGTCTGAGGGCAATGTGTGGTGTGAATATAATGCAGAGAATTCGTAGTTTGGAAGTTAGGAGGAGGTGCGGGATTACCAAAACTGTTGTCCAGAGGGCTGAGGAAGGGTTGTTGAGGTGGTTCTGACATGTAGAGAGAATGGAGCGAAACAGAATGACTTCAAGAGTGTATCAGTCTGTAGTGAAGGAAGGCGGGGGAGGGGTCGGCCTAGGAAAGGTTGGAGGGAGGGAGTAAAGGAGGTTTTGTGTGCGAGGGGCTTGGACTTCCAGCGGGCATGCGTGAGCGTATTGATAGGAGTGAATGGAGACAAATGGTTTTTAATACTTGACGTGCTGTTGGAGTGTGAGCAAAGTAACATTTATGAAGGGATTCAGGGAAACCGGCAGGCCGGACTTGAGTCCTGGAGATGGGAAGTACAGTGCCTGCACTCTGAAGGAGGGGTGTTAATGTTGCAGTTTAAAACTGTAGTGTAAAGCACCCCTCTGGCAAGACAGTGATGGAATGAATGATGGTGAAAGTTTTTGTTTTTGAGCCACCCTGCCTTGTGGAAATCGGCCAGTGTGTTAATAATAATAATAAATAATAATGTAAAAAAAAATTCCGGCACTTGTCACTCGCCTGGCAACAGGAAGCGCTGCCACTTGCCGAATAACCTTTTTTTCTCATTTTTTTTTTAATTTATATAATTTTTAGTTCTGATGATGACAATTTGTAGTAGTTCTTGTGATTTCATAGTTAATCTTTGTTCTGACACTAATATATTAGGTACTGAATTAGTGCCTAAGTAGTCATGAAGACAGTGACAGGTGAACATTTTCACCTACCTTTGTCATATACTATTGTCTAGAAATATATACATAGTATTTAT